CGTAAGAAAGTTTCCTCTTTATGCTTATTCGATTTCGTTCATGCTGAGAAATCTCTCAGTTTTCTGACGATCCAAGTCGAGCTTCTCTCTCCAATCTTCGTGTAGTTCGTTCCGCCCTGGCCTTCTCCAACTCTGCTCTAATTTCCTCTCGGGTGGTGGGGAGACGCTATTGAATTGTGTCAAGCCTGGCCCTCTTTAAGCAACTTTTTGGGTACTGACATTGGTGTCCTCTACCTTAGGAAATAGCATTTCGCGGTACTTTGGAAGATTATCGGTTTAATGAGCTCAAATTTGTCAACATAGAGATAGAACTGCCTTTGCTTACGGGAATCACATGTTTTTGGTACCACGCAGGATTTCCATAATGAACCATCATAGCTACAGGAAAGAAAACATAAAGCCCAAATTTAAAGACTTCAAGATTTGGGCCACCCATGTCGTGAAATGGTGGGAAGAGGAACGAGCAAAAGATAGGTGCTTGCTTTGTACTCGACTTTGACTTCCGACATCGACCATGGTGCAGCTCGGTGGTCCATTGGGCATATCACTTGCACCCTACATTCTTAAAAACCCATCACTTCATAGATTTATTAAACCATGGGCAAACGCCTTTGTCAACGCCGCCGGATATCGTAAAGTCGGACTGCGCTATGACGACCTCTGTACGTTTACAATTCATAAACGGAGACAAAATTTGCATATTGAATTTTCATAATAGTAATTGAAGAGCGGGATGACGTCCAAAGGGTAAGCGTTTTCACTTTTGTTCCCATGTTGGAGTTCGACGCTGACCAGGTCATTAGGCACTTTCTCGCCTCCCCGAAAGAGAGGCCTACGACAGGGTCTATCGTTTACGAAGGGCTTTCCAATGCGATACAATGAGGCGTCAGCTTCCCAGGGATCAGTGGACAAAGCCAGAGGATGTCAGTATTTTTCTACCCTAAAGGCGACATAGTTGACAAACCCATTTCTTTTAGGATGTCCGCTATCTCGTTCCTCACGTGAATGAAGCCATCAAGGAGGATGCAGAGCGTGCCGAATGGGATACCATGGATGTCTCCAGCGTCCGGAAACCCCTCACAGCTTGATTCTTTCAATAAACTTATGCAATACTCTTTATCAATATGAAACCAGCTATTAGAGCCACATGTCATTATGCTGTGAAAGACTTTATCACCGATCATGTTCACACTTCACCGAGGAGATTATTACTTAACTGCGCAGTCCCTAAGGCGACATTAGCAAACATCAGATACTGCCATGGTATTATTGCGCATGAATTCAATAAACCCTGGTACCTGTTGCAATTACAAGGGTCTGCGGCGGTGCGTAGACTCGCATCCGGGGGTCCATC